AGGAGCACTTTAGTGTCCTGAAAATCAAAAAGTAATTCTATAAAAACAGGAATGAGGGTATAAGGATGAGTATAAAGGGAAAGCTCTAGCACGTGGGGGAAGAATGAGAAAGGGTAAGGAACAGACAGAATTACAGCTAATGAGGGGTATAAAAGGCAAGTTCCAGAAATATACTGGAAGTACAATGAAAAGAAAAAAAAGAGTCAGCATTTGTCTTTTGATGGAAAGAACGAAAGAGATGACACAGAGACACAAACAGTGACTTCCTTACCATGGCTGCACAGTGCAGAGCCATCACCAGTAGCAAGAGAAGCTCAGTGCATTGAGTAGTCAGGGGTCAAGAGAAATCACCCTGGAAATGTAAGCAACCTCTGAATAATTAGCAGCAGATTGTGACAAATTTTGAAGGCTTAGGAAATCCTGGGGAAGTGCAGAAAAAGCACTTTTTCTGTGAAAAATAGAAATACATAAATAAAGGAAATTAAGAGTTTGGGGAGTTACAGATCAGCCAAGCTGGCTTCAGTTCCTTGAAAAATTTTGGAACAAATTATTGAACAATCCATTTGTAAGTACTAATATTGTGATAAAAATAAAAGATAAAAACCAGCCAACACAACTCTAACAGGAAAAAATGACGTCAGGATGATCTAATTTTCCTCCTTGCCAGGGTATTTGGTCTAATGAAGGAAGAAACAATGGATGGATCCATTATGCAAAGCCTCTGGTGCATTCCCAGGAACAGTCAAGTACAATCTGAGTGGAAACATGGGAGATGCTGAGAGCAAAAGATGCTCCAAGCAAAGGTGGGGGGCTGAGAGCCGGGGCAAGGGGGGTGTCACAAGTCTGTTCTCATGGTCTGGATGCCTTTTATTTTCCTACAGCATGACTGGTGGGCATGTCCATGTCCAAACACAGGGATGACACCTCTGTGGATCCCCAAGACACCAGGGACCTCCAACCCCTGACAGACACTCAGTGTGCCACATTTCCCTTGCCAAGGAGGGTAGAAACTTCTTCAAAACATCTGCAAGTGAAAGCAATTCCTCTCAACTGGACATTTCAGGTGATGGGAGGTGCATGGCTTTGAGTAAAGCCCTTTTAAATATAGATATAGATGATATAGGTATATGTACTATGCCAGTCATGGATGGGAAGATGAAAATCCACAACTTGTGAACCAGATGCTCATGAAACAAAACAGCCTTGTTTATTTTGCAGAGCTCACTTTTATACTCGAGTCAAAACTTCCAGGCTTAGATAGCTATTGGGTGGGATCTCTCTCTGTCCAGATCTCTGCCCAGTGATCTCTGGCTCACTTCTCAGCTTGAATGGGGCTGGCCAAGGGTCCCCTGTGACTTATCCAGGGACATGTTCAGGTATGAACCAGGCCAGCCAAACTGGATGTGTCTTATGGTCAGATTCACTTTGTCCAGCCCAGGCTGGCTGTACTGTGACAGGTATAGATACAGATACATACTCAGATGAAAATATTGTTATTTAATTCTGGTTCATGCACTGCAGCCCCACTCTGAAGTCTCCTGGCTGTTAAGCAATGACCAGCAGCAGTGTTAGCTCTGTCACTCAGCCCTGGAGCAGCACAAGGGGAGCCTCAGGCAGCTGCCCTGCTGCAGTGAAGGGAGATGTTGCAGGATGGAGCTCCCAGTTCAAACCAGTTCAGCACAAACCACCAGGAAACACCCTCACCCCAGAGAGCAGAGGGGTGAGCTCCAGCTCTACCTCCTCATCAGAGCAGACAGTTTCAGAAGAGTCTCCCCAAACGCTCCTCTCTGGGCAGCCCCAAACAACAAAAGTGTTTGAACACACCCTGTGACCTTTTCTTTCCTCTATTTCTTCTGCCAAGACCAGAGAAAATACCCCATTTTGAGAACAAAATAGTGCAGAAAACAGAAATGACACAATCTTGGAGTTCAGTGTCATGCACAGCCCCTCAGCCTGAAGAGGTTTGACAGTTTGTACTGGGAAGAAGGTGTGATGCTGCAACATTTCTTCAGAGAGGAAAAAAAGAAATAAAAGAGGATGGCTTTTATTTTTAGAAGTTTTAGCAGCCAAATTGTTGTCAGGCCGTCTGTTCTCTGCTGAGCAACACACAGTGTTGGGCACAGCCAAGAAGAGCTTTCTCACAGAGCAAAATGTCATGATAAAACCAGGTTTCATCAGAATCTAAACAACCTTCATGGAAAAAATTGCCAAATTTTGGACAAACTGTATATTGTTTATCTTTTTTTTTTTTGTTGCCGGAATCTGCTTATGGATGGAGAAATATGAGATTGGGCCTGAACTGCTGTTTTGTTTGGGAACATGCCACATTTCCATTTGGTGTCCTCTGGTGATGCTGAACAGCTAAAGGAGGTATGGGACTTCAGTTCTCTTCCATCTTCCACCACCACCCAGCTTTTCCTTTCATTGCTGTCCATCTTCTGCAACTAGAGATGCTTTCAAAAGAAAACAAAACTGGATTCTTATTTCTCTTTGTTCTCTGGCCTTGGACATTTGCCCCATTGTTGCAGGGCTCAGCACCCTCATGACCAACTCACAGCTCCCTGAGGTTGAGGAACCTCTGGAGATGGTCCAGTGCCATCCCTGCTCAGGGGGGTCACCTAAAGCTGGATTCTCTGGGCTATAGCCCACAGGCTTTGAGATATCTCCAAGGGTAGAGAGCACTGCTTCTCTCATGAGTGGTTCAACCATCCTCACAGCTCTTCCCTGGACTTGGTCCAGTAACCAGCATCTGTCTTGTACTGGGAAGGACAGCAAGGGAGCAACCTGATGCCACCACACCTGTCTGTAAAATCAAACTGCTACCCCAGCAATTCCTGGCACCAGAGAGAGCCAGGCAGTGTGAGCTGTGCCTGTCCTGAAGAGACACTCAACCATGATTGCACCCATCCCTGTCCAGCTGTGACATGGGCCAGGCAGATGGGCACACTGCAGTGTGGCCAAGGGAACTTGAGTCTGGGAAAGAGCACCTTTGGGTCCTGTGGGTACCAAGAGGAAAGTCGGCACAGGCAAGGGTTATGGGAATTTTGCTGAGACTGTCTTTGATACTGACACCTATGCATGTCCCAGGGAGAATTTCATGCTTTGGGTTCTTCATAAATGCCAAATTAGTGTGTGATGGATGGGCTGGGAGCTCCTCCCAGGATCTCTCCACAGCAGCTCTTGAGAGCAGCAATAAAACTCCATTGTCAGCTGGGCCAGGATGAGGTGTATGGTGGATAACCCAGAAAGGAACCTTTCCAGGCACCCCTGGGACAGAGCAGGGACAGGGCTGATGGACCTACCTTGGTCTTGCTAGGCACTGCTCCACACACACACCCCTTCCTCCTCCCACTTGCTGGACATGTGTATACCCCAATAAACACCCTTTTCTGCCCTAATCTCCCTCTTGTGCACCTCCAGGGATACACAAACATGCTGCACAGCCCTGCATGTGTTCACCCCTGCTCCCCAGCACCCCCCTTCATCCCACATGGGCACTGGCACTGCTGGGGCTGGATGACAACACACAGAGAAAGAGGGCTCATTCAGAGAGCTGCTATGTCCCATGGCTTATGAACAGGGGGCAGCCCAGTTGTCCCCAGCCCACCTGGCCCTCCCCAGCACCCTGCAGGAGCCCTGATGCAGGCAGGGAGCAAGGGAATAGGTGCAGCCATCCTCAGTGCCACCTACCTGGGACACTCACCTTGGGGCTCCTTGAGGACCTCGTCCAGTCCCTGACACGTTGCAAATTCTACCCACGCTGCAGGAGAGCTGAACACCCCTGCCCACTGCTCACCCTGCTGCCTGAGGAGCCCGGGCTCAGGCTGGAGGATAGATGCCAGGACACCTCGACTAGAGAACAGCTGGATAACTGGAGATTCTTAGAGAACAGCTGGATAACTGGAGTTTTCATGAGAACTGAGGGCCTCCAGAGCTGTGCTGGAGGAGGGGTGGGGGGAAAGCGGGGCAGAGGCTGGACGAGCCTGAGGGACTGAGACAGGAAAAATTCACGGGAACAGCCCCTTCCAGAGCGGGCCAGACCCTGGGCTGGGATGGAGACAGACACCCAAGGGAAGGGGCAGGGACAGCAGGACGAGGCGGCGGTGGCCGATGGCAGCCGGAGCTCGCCGTGT